GGATGGAAATCTCAACCCCGGTTTATGTTCCCATCCTCTTGAATATTTCCGGGATTCACAATCCCCAGAATAATAGACCACCGTTTCACCGAGGTTGGAGATTTGCCTGCAAGGCCACATCGCCTGGTGATCCTGGCACAATAGGAGGAGCCACCTTCCACATCAAGAGTCGAGACATGGTGGCAGTTTTTTCTCGTGGCCCTAAGTCCTCAAATGACCTTCTGAATTTTACACCTACAGGAAAATGGCTAATAGGTCAGCTCATGGACCGGCTGCTAGGAAACAGGTCGCAACCCCACGTACAATGGATCTATCAGCGGATGGTTTTATTCCATATTTGGGATGCTTCGTCAGCTGGCATCTTTATCAATCCGTCTACTGTCACTTCTCACAGTTGGAAGGTCCATTTAGTATTGCTCTAATATCTCATGGAATAGGTGCCAGTGAAACAAACAGCATTGGATTTGTTGGCTGAGTGTTAAAACAGCAAATACTCGCCTCCTGTCATTAATAAAATTAAGATTATAGGTACACTAAAGCTAGCATAATCTACAATTTCATTCTAACTGTATTTTGTTATTGAGATATATATATATATATATATATATATATATATATATATATATATATATATATATATATATATATATATATATATATATATATATATATATTACATAAATGATTACATAAGTATACACGTAAAATTTAAATACATATATATGTATCATACAAAAAACAGTATCAAGTAGTGAACAAAGTGCAAAAGACCTCAAACACAGCTTGATGTAAGTGCAGCGCTAAAACAGTATTATAAATTGTGATACACTTACCCCTCACAGTGTATATGGGGTGTATATGTGAAAATAAACAGAAAAAAACATATATAGAGTAGTATTGTCTGATGCGTTTGAAAATATATCAAATAAGTGAGAAGAATAAAACTCACATTTGAGAGAGCCTTTTATGAGGATATAGGCTCTAAACACAACAGCTTCTTTGCCTTTAAAGGTAGGCAATAGAACCTTAAAAACAGGAGCGTTCTTCTTTTCTTTTGTTGATAAATTATATCTCCAAATGAAACATAGAAAAAAAGAATTCTTTGGTGCAGATGGTATGATCAAAGTGATAAAGCAGTCAGATAGAATGTATAAGCTCAAATTGCTCACCTTATTTAGAGCCTTTTAAACTGGCTCTAAGTATTGTAGGCATGGATGTCAATAACCAGATAGCACTTCCCTCTTATGGATACCACAGAAATGGAGAGGAGATGGAATAAAGATAGCTAACAAAAATATTTATTAATACATAAAATAAACATAAATAAAATATACATATGAATAAAAAGAATCCTCTCTCTCCTCTATCCAGAAACGCGTTTCGCCGTCCTTTTCGGCTTCCTCAGTCTGTGTTTGTGGGTATCCTTAGTGTTTGTTTTTATATCTTCCTTATTGCGCCTTTTTCGGACGTCACTTCCGGTTTAGCGGCATGACGTCACTTCCGGTCTGGCGGTGTGACGTCAACTTCCGGGTCGGCTCGAAACTGCCGATACATCACTTCCGGTTTCAAATTCATACTACAATTCCCAGCATGCTCCACTGTTCTTCATAAAATCGAACTCATTTTTGCATAGTATATGAAATAGAAGAGTCCAAAAAAGGCCATCTTACATAGCTCAAACATATGGAAAAGGGGTATTAATAGCACAACAATAAAAAACAAATATAAAACAAATATATAAATCCTTATTATAAATCCATATAAAACAGAGAATACATATAATATGTTCCTAAAATCGGATTTCTAAGTATAAAGCATATATAGTAAGTTCCTAATTTCAAGTAATAAATATGAAAAAATACAATATAAAAATACAATATAATAAAAAATATAATATAATAAAATATCCCTAATCTGCATAACCTCATATATCAAAACTGTCTAAAAGATATATATAAAAGAATAATAAGTTATAAAAAATGACATAACTCAAAATCTACATTAAGACCAAAAGGAGCAAGGGTATTGAGATTAAAAATCCATTTCATCTCAATTTGACCTAATTTTTTTATCTCATTATCTCCTCTCCAATTCATCTCTACTTTTTGAATAGCAAAGAATTTTAAAAGGGTAGGGTCACTATTATGTAATGTTTTAAAGTGCAAGGACACATTGTGTTTATCATAACCTTTTCTGATATTCCTCACATGTTCATTAATGCGTACATGTAGGGCACGTTTTGTCCTCCCCACATAGTACAGACCACATGGACACTGTAAGATATAAATTACTCTTTTAGAGAAACATGTAGTCATCGTTTTTAACTTATATTCTTTTTTGTTTTGAGGATTTTCAAAGGATGTGAGGTGCCTCCTATCACTTTTAGTATTTCTACAAGCCAAACATTGACCGCACCCAAAAAAACCTTGTTTTTGAAAAAACGGGATTGATTTTTTTTTCTTTTATGCAATTATTTGTTAAAAAGCATTTTAAATTGGGAGCACCTCTATATATAATTCTAGGTTGGTCAGGTAGTATGCCATGTAGTTTGGGATCATTCTTTAAAATAGGCCAATGCTTTCTCATTATTCTTCTTATTTTGTTGTTATTTTGATTAAAATCACAAATAAAAGAAATCTCTTTAAAACTTTCATCTTTCTTAGGTTTATATTCTAGAAGAGTTTGTCGATCTGTCTCTTCTACTTCTTTCATAATATTTTGCAATATTGTGTTTTCACACCCCTTTTCTACAAACTGATTCTTAATTCTATAGCTTTGATTTTTAAAGACATCTATATCTGTGCAATTTCTCCGGACTCTTAGAAATTGTGATCTTGGGATATTTTTCAGCCAGGGGGAAAAATGGCAGCTTTTGAGACTAATATAATTATTCACGTCAACTTTTTTAAAAAATGTTTTAGTTTTTAGTAAGTTATTCTCTACATAAATAGTTAAATCTAAAAAATTCACCTTTTCTCTACTGTGTTCTGTAGTAAGAGCTATTCCCCATTGGTTATTATTTAAAAAGCAGAAAAAATTTTGTAGTTCCTCTATCGTTCCTTTCCAGATAAACAAAATATCATCTATATACCGCTTATAGGTGACAAGGTTCGCGCTCCAGATAGGGTCTTCCAGGATGTAATTTTGTTCCCAAAACGCCATAAACAAATTAGCGTAACTGGGCGCGAACCTTGTCCCCATAGCGGTACCGCATTTCTGCAGGTAAAAGTCATTTTGGAACCAAAAATAATTGTTTTCCAAGATTAATTGTATCCCTTGAAGGATAAATTGAATTTGTTCATCCGGGTAAAGTTGTGCCTGTTCGAGGAAAAATCTAGTTGCTTCTAACCCTTTTTGGTGGGATATAATAGTATATAGAGACCCTACATCGGCAGTAACTAAAATAAAATGAGGTTCCCATTCTATTTGTTTTAAAATTTGAATGACATTAAGTGTATCTTTCAAGTAACTGGGTGTATCCTTCACTACCAATTGTAAGCATCGATCTAAATATTCCGAAAGTCTACTAGAGACTGAATCAATCCCTGAGACTATCGGTCTACCAGGTGGATTTATGAGGTCCTTATGTATTTTAGGGAGATGGTATAATACTGGAATTTTTGGTTTATTGCTATTTAGGTATTTGAACTCATTGTCATTTAATATTTCCATTTCTTTACCTTTTTGAAATAATTCCTCAAATTTTTTTCTTATATCATTTGTTGGATCTCCTGGTAGCTTACAGTACGTATTCGAGTCCTCTACTAATCTCAAACCTTCCTGAATGTACCTTTTTGTATCCATAACTACTATTCCCCCTCCTTTGTCTGCCGGTTTTATTACCCTACTATTATCTTTTTGTAATTTTTTTAGGGTTAGCCATTCCTGCTTATTGAGATTCATCAATTTTTTATTATCTTTAACTTTATTTATGTCTTGCATAACAGATTTCTCAAAGGAAATCATTTCATCTGAAATGAAATTATTTGGAAAAAAAATAGACTTTTCTCTTAAATCAGTATGTACATAGTTAGATTGAGGGATCTGTATAGAATAAGCATCTGTTCTCATAAAACATTTTTTAAGACATAATTGACGTTTAAATTTATTCAAATCTACATAAAACTCGAATTTATTTAGAGGTTTTGTTGGAGCAAACTTTAACCCTTTCTTGAGGACTTGCTCCTCTGTTTTATTTAAGGGAGTCGTAGTTAAATTAAAGATAATTGATTTATCTTTTTTGCCCAGTGCGTTTAATTTGTCTTTTACTTTCTTGCCCCCTCTCTTTCCTCTAATTCCATATCTCTCCGCCTTTTTGATAGTGATCTCTGATATGTTATTTTGTGTAAGGGTTCTTGGTTGGTTTTGAACTTCCCTTTTTGTCTCCCCTCCTGAAAAAAATCTTCTTTATATGTGTCTGCAAGAGTTTCAAACCTATTATGTAATGGTAAAGATCTTTCATGAATTTCTTTTCTATTTCTCGTTATAATAGGAGATCTATTCCTCTCTCTTACTTGTCTCTGCTCTTTAGATTGAATTCTCTCAGATGAGAGATTTCTGCGTAATGTCCTATTTTCTAAAATCCTCTGCCTGGGTGGTGATTTATTTCTATAGGAATTTTTCCTTCCTTTCAAAGGTGTTCTTTTTTCTACTTCATTACCATATGTGTTGATATAATTGGGTTTCTCTCTGTATTTATTGATAGGTTTATTGTATTGTTGCTCCCTATAATTAGATCTGTTTTGGTAATATGACCGTACCTGATTATTCTCATAGTCAAATTTATCTCTTTTATATTTTTTCTTTTTTATTTCTATTGTTTCCTTTTCAGTTCTTTCTATTTGTTTTTGAACATTCTTAGTAATTTCCTCGTATTCATCTGCCGTTGTGTGATTTAACAATACATTTTGAGTTGTATTAATTTCCTGATCTAATTTTTCTAGAGTAATTTTTCTTCTTTTAATAATCATATTCATAGTTGTAATCGAGAAAGACTCTAACATTTCATTCCATTCTTCCATGAAATCCTCCTCTCCTTTCGATAAAGGAGAGGAGGATTTCATGGAAGAATGGAATGAAATAAAGGAGAGGAGGATTTCATGGAAGAATGGAATGAAATGTTAGAGTCTTTCTCGATTACAACTATGAATATGATTATTAAAAGAAGAAAAATTACTCTAGAAAAATTAGATCAGGAAATTACAAAAAGATAATAGTAGGGTAATAAAACCGGCAGACAAAGGAGGGGGAATAGTAGTTATGGATACAAAAAAGTACATTCAGGAAGGTTTGAGATTAGTAGAGGACTCGAATACGTACTGTAAGCTACCAGGAGATCCAACAAATGATATAAGAAAAAAATTTGAGGAATTATTTCAAAAAGGTAAAGAAATGGAAATATTAAATGACAATGAGTTCAAATACCTAAATAGCAATAAACCAAAAATTCCAGTATTATACCATCTCCCTAAAATACATAAGGACCTCATAAATCCACCTGGTAGACCGATAGTCTCAGGGATTGATTCAGTCTCTAGTAGACTTTCGGAATATTTAGATCGATGCTTACAATTGGTAGTGAAGGATACACCCAGTTACTTGAAAGATACACTTAATGTCATTCAAATTTTAAAACAAATAGAATGGGAACCTCATTTTATTTTAGTTACTGCCGATGTAGGGTCTCTATATACTATTATATCCCACCAAAAAGGGTTAGAAGCAACTAGATTTTTACTCGAACAGGCACAACTTTACCCGGATGAACAAATTCAATTTATCCTTCAAGGGATACAATTAATCTTGGAAAACAATTATTTTTGGTTCCAAAATGACTTTTACCTGCAGAAATGCGGTACCGCTATGGGGACAAGGTTCGCGCCCAGTTACGCTAATTTGTTTATGGCGTTTTGGGAACAAAATTACATCCTGGAAGACCCTATCTGGAGCGCGAACCTTGTCACCTATAAGCGGTATATAGATGATATTTTGTTTATCTGGAAAGGAACGATAGAGGAACTACAAAATTTTTTCTGCTTTTTAAATAATAACCAATGGGGAATAGCTCTTACTACAGAACACAGTAGAGAAAAGGTGAATTTTTTAGATTTAACTATTTATGTAGAGAATAACTTACTAAAAACTAAAACATTTTTTAAAAAAGTTGACGTGAATAATTATATTAGTCTCAAAAGCTGCCATTTTTCCCCCTGGCTGAAAAATATCCCAAGATCACAATTTCTAAGAGTCCGGAGAAATTGCACAGATATAGATGTCTTTAAAAATCAAAGCTATAGAATTAAGAATCAGTTTGTAGAAAAGGGGTATGAAAACACAATATTGCAAAATATTATGAAAGAAGTAGAAGAGACAGATCGACAAACTCTTCTAGAATATAAACCTAAGAAAGATGAAAGTTTTAAAGAGATTTCTTTTATCTGTGATTTTAATCAAAATAACAACAAAATAAGAAGAATAATGAGAAAGCATTGGCCTATTTTAAAGAATGATCCCAAACTACATGGCATACTACCTGACCAACCTAGAATTATATATAGAGGTGCTCCCAATTTAAAACGCTTTTTAACAAATAATTACATAAAAGAAAAAAAATCAATCCCGTTTTTTCAAAAACAAGGTTTTTTTTGGGTGCGGTCAATGTTTGGCTTGTAGAAATACTAAAAGTGATAGGAGGCACCTCACATCCTTTGAAAATCCTCAAAATAAAAAAGAATATAAGTTAAAAACGATGACTACATGTTTCTCTAAAAGAGTTATTTATATCTTACAGTGTCCATGTGGTCTGTACTATGTGGGGAGGACAAAACGTGCCCTACATGTACGCATTAATGAACATGTGAGAAATATCAGAAAAGGTTACGATAAACATAATGTGTCCTTGCACTTTAAAACATTACATAATAGTGACCCTACCCTTTTAAAATTTTTTGCTATTCAAAAAGTAGAGATGAATTGGAGAGGAGATAATGAGACAAAAAAATTAGGTCAAATTGAAATGAAATGGATTTTTAATCTCAATACCCTTGCCCCGTTTGGTCTGAATGTAGATTTTGAGTTATGCCATTTTTTATAACTCATTTTTCTTTTATATATATCTTTTAAACAGTTTTGATATATGAGATTATGCAGATTAGGGATATTTTATTATAATATATTCTTTATATTGTATTTTTATATTGTATTTTTTCATATTTATTACTTGAAATTAGGAATTTATTATATATGCCTTACACTTAGAAATCTGATTTTAGGAACATATTATATTTATTTTCCGTTTTAATATGGGTTTAAAATAAGGATTTATATATTTGTTTTATATTTGTTTTTTATTGTTGTGCTATTAATCCCCCTTTTATTCTTTTGTTTGAGCTATGTAAGATGGCTTTCTTTGGACTTTTCTATTTCATATACTATGCAAAAATGAGTTCGATTGTATGAAGAACAGTGGAGCATGCTGGGAATTGTAATATCAATTTGAAACCGGAAGTGACGTATCGGCGGTTTCGAGCCGACCCGGAAGTTGACGTCACAATGCCAGACCGGAAGTGACGTCACAGCGCCAAACCGGAAGTGACGTCATGACGCCAAACCGGAAGTGACGTCCGAAAAAGGCGCAAAAGGAAGATATATAAACAAACACTAAGGATATCCACAAACACAGACTGAGGAAGCCGAAAAGGACGGCGAAACGCGTTTCTGGATAAAGGAGAGAGAGGATTCTTTTTATTTATATGTATATTTTATTTATGTTTATTTTATGTATTAATAAATATTTTTGTTAGCCATTTTTATTCCATCTCCTCTCCATTTTTGTGGTATCCATAAGAGGGAAGTGCTATCTGGTTATTGACATCCATGCCTACAATACTTAGAGCCAGTTTAAAAGGCTCTAAATAAGGTGAGCAATTTGAGCTTATACATCCTATCTGACTGCTTTTTTACTTTGATTATACCATCTGCACCAAAGAATTCTTCTTTTCTATGTTTTATTTGGAGATATAATTTATCAACAAAAGAAAAGAAGAACGCTCCTGTCCCTAGGTTTTATTGCCTACCTTTAAAGGCAAAGAAGCTGTTGTGTTTAGAGCCTATATCCTCAGAAAAGGCTCTTTAAAATGTGAGTTTTATTCTTTCTATCTATTGGATATATTTACAAACGCATCAGACAATACTACTCTATATATCTTTTTCTGTTTATTTTCACATATATACCCCATATATACTGTGAGGGGTAAGTGTATTATAATTTAAAATACTTTTTTAGCGCTGCACTCACATCAAGCTGTGTTTGAGGTCTTTTTGCACTTTGTTCACTACTTGATATTGTTTTTTTGTATGGTTTATATTTATAGTGTTTTGTGGAGTATTCACTAGAAGTGCACATAGCAGCTATATTTTATATAATTCACACCTAATAATATTTTAAGCGCCTTTTTATCCACATCCACCTCTGTGTGTTTTTCCTATGTAAAAAAGGCCTGATGAGATGAGCTGCCTTGGGCTAAAAATGGTCCACACGCTGCTGTATTTTAGCTCTGAATGCCTGTTGACTTGCGTGACTTATCCGCCACCAACTAGGGTTCAAGCCGCCAGTGTGTACTTTATAAATAGCTTTATAAAGCAGTGTGTACTTTATAAATGGCTCCACCTGCCACCCGTACAGCAACACAGTCTCCAGTTAGGAGGACCAACCAAACATCTTCTTCCATCTCCCTGTTACAAAAATCAATGCCGTGTACACGTCCACTGATAGGAGACGCGGAAGGTATTAAACTGATAAAAATAGTACTAAACACACCACTCCTATCTGGTGTCACATTAGCTTGACCGCGCAGTGCCCCAAATTTGCAGTG